TCGCTCCATCCACCCATTGCACTGTTTCTTAACATCATCTCTTCTATAGTTGTATGTACCGGCGATCTACTATGAGACACGTGACTGTTAAAAAGTTCGTTCGATTCGAGCTGTGCTAAACATGGTTGTTTTTGTGGTCCTCACTAGTTGCCGCTGATCCCTTCTGTGGAATTTGTCGATTTTGTCTACTTTTAAATAACTGCTGCTGATGATTTTTGCGTTGATTGTTTTTATTGATTGGTTTCAAACTTGTAGATCAGACCACATCATTAATTCTTTTACATTGTGCTACGACACTTCATTCTCGTCGTGTTTTGGATTGTTCTTGTAAGGAGAATAAATAATATTTACCTCTTTTCGGTGAACTTTCTTTGTGGCCGTGGCTGAAGGTCCTATACAATATTCTCGCTCAAACTATTTTGTTTTGATGTAATCCTACAATTTAGTTGAACTATAGATTGAGAATGAAGAATAAACCTGTGGAGGGTTTTGTCAGCGACCCGCAATTGCTGCCTAGGATCAAAGAGGTGACGCTTATTTTGGTCATTCCATGTTTGCTTCTTTTCGTGTTACAAAGTGATGTTTATTTTCTTTTGAAAACTTCTTGTACGTTTATAAATAAATTCCAAACTTTATTTTAATTTAGCACTGTTGCAACTTTCCTGACCAGAAATTCTTCCGAGCTGAAGATGTTGCGTTCGACTTACAAAGAAAGTATTTGTAAGTTAGTTATATCTCTCTTTTCAAACTTTGATCCTGCTTTTTCTACTTAATCACCCGAGAAGAGGTCCTTTGGGATCCTCGTTACTCTGAAATCCAGTCTTATTGAGGTTTCCCCACAACTTGTATGAATCGGTTTTTCAGTGAATACAGTCGCAAAAAGTTTAAGCCTTTTGTCTTATTGGTTCGAGAGGGACTCAGTCGTCTGAATATCAAGGATAGACCTGATCCGAAAGCTGAGAAGGCGAACGTGGAGGGAGTCGAGGTTGAACCTGAAATTAGTGTGGTTCGCGAATTGATCTCACCAGGATCAAAAGTGAAAAATGAGAGGAAGAGAAGAGCTCAGGGGTGAGCCACTTTAACGTTTTGAAAATATTTTGATTTCTACTTTTGCAGCTATGTTTCCTCAGCGCCGAAGGTTGAAGACGTTTACGTGTCTAGCGATGAAGAGAATGATAAACAGTTCGAGGAAGTAAAGGTTTTCTGTTTTACATTCATTTTCGTTTGCGCTGTTTTTGTTTTGCAAGTTCTTCGATTTATACCATTCTGGTCACTACATATTGCTTATTCATGGTAGTCAACAAATCGCGCCAACAAGTCCGTGCTAAATCTTTACAATAGTGGAAAAAAGCCAGAGATGTCACCAGTCTTAAACACGACTACATCAACCCCCTTAAAAAAGAAAAGAGCAGCGGCGACGACAAAAACCTCGGTGAGTTAGCTTAATCTATCGCACTCCAACTCCTATCATGCATTATACTGAACAACATTGAAGGCAAATGTGGTTAACAGCAGTTCCTCTTCTGGTCCCCGAGGTCTTGGCAGTGTCCCCACTCTTGCTGTTCAGGCGCGTCCCTCTACAGTGAAATTTGAGGATTTGGGCGGCTGTGACAGGCAATTTCTAGTTAGTACTTGAGGTGTTTATACGATTGCATTATTGTGCCAGTCACATTCATAACAAGTTGTGTAGGAGACTACAATATGGACTCCAACTTTATCTTGTAAATTGCAGGAAGTGTGCCGTCTCGCGATGCATATGAAACGACCACATACATATGGTGTATTGGGAGTCGAACCACCTAAAGGATTTCTGGTGCATGGTCCACCTGGATGCGGAAAAACGCTCTTTGCTCAGGTATCATGATATCTGATTGCGAAGAAACGCTTTAAGTAGTTTTGGAGATCTGGAGAATTTAACACAAATCATTAGTATGAGTGAGTCCTGTGAAGAATCTTAATTTGCACAAAAGCACATTCTGAAAAAAAAATCACGATGTTAGTTTATTCGGGGAGGTGGTTAGGCTTTATGTTGAGGTAATGTTTGCAGTTTCTGCGTTGTACTGCCAATCTGCGCTCTAATTAGATGTCAGTAAAAACCTAATTGTTGAAATCAACACAAATACATGAACCTTAGCAGTGCTGCTAAGTCTGCACCACTATTGCGGCGAATATGGTCAAATCCGTAGTCGTGTCTCACGAAATAGAGCGTTTCGCCATTCTGATCCTCAGTCTATATAACATCTATCATAACTTTGCCTAGGATATACAGGATAGAACACAGAAAGCTAATTTGACTTTGAAAACTTTAGTAAACTCTGAGCGTTAAATGAACTTTTTATACTGTATATTGAGAAGGTCTTTGCTGCAAGTCAATGCTCAACGATGACGCTCAGGCTACATTACAGCTTGTCTTATAGCAGTCTATTCATAATAGCGGAAGGTGAATTGTCTCCTTCTTTCTCCTGTGCATTTTCACCCATTCTCATGTGGTTTTTTCCAAAAACAAAAAATTGTACAATCTTTTTCACGGAACCAGTGTGTTTGCAGTCCAACGTGGAGTTTATTCTTTATTTAAAATAGTTCGAATTCAAGAGTGTATTTGGAAATTTGGAAGCTGAGTCGTTTTTTAGGATGTTTTTATTCAAATCTATCAATGTCAAATTTGTTTTTTCTGCTTATTCCCAGTAATTTGAAAAATTTGAACTTATTTCAAGTCTTTCTTCTCTCACCATGTTTGCTTGAGTGATTGTATTCTTTGAATATAAAACTTCAGGCTGTGGCGGGCCAATTCAACTTACCCATGATCCAACTGGCTGCCACTGAACTAGTTTCTGGTGTATCCGGAGAAACCGAAGATAAGATTCGACAGCTGTTCATAATAGCAAAACAGAACGCTCCGTGCGTACTGGTGAGTTAGCGATGAGGTGTGCTAGTGTTTACTTTCTTATTGTGCTAACTCATTGTGACTTCCTCATTCACTAATTCCATTACATTTTCTCTCCTCACATGTCATATCTCCTGTGATGTACTCTAGAGTCGTTTAGATTTTGGATGACATTGATGCGATTGCGCCTAGACGTGAAACGGCTACAAGAGAAATG